CCTGCCTCAAAAAAAAAAAAAAAAAAAAAAAAAAAAAAAAACCAAAAAAAACAAAAACAAGCAAACAAGCAAGCAAAATATCTACAGAGCTTGACTTGCATCTCCAGTATTTACTCAGAGAACAGTTGTTATCAGGGCTAGTCTGTCTTACCCATCACATCCAACATCCAAGGAGCGCTCGCGCGCGCGCTCTCTCTCTCTCTCTCTCCCTTCTTTCCTCCATCTCTCTCTCTACCCTCACTTCTCCCTTCCTTAACGTTATAATATTGTGAGGTGATTATAAAGACAAATTTTAGCCCAGGTTAGCCTCAAACCCGTGATCCTCCTGCCTCCGCCTCCTTCAGCAAACTCCACTGGCGTGTGTCACCACAACCGGCCACAGACAGATTTTAAGGTGATCTGTGAAGAAGTAAAGCATGTCCCTAGACCCGCAGTGACAAAGACTAATCTGGGGATCATTGGACCCTGAAGCCACTTTGATGGCAGCGGGAGGCAGAGCTGTCCAAAGCCGAGGAAGGTGTTTTTCTGTTTCGGTGTGTGCTGAGGTTATCCATTGCGTGTGTTTCAGAAATCCTAGAAAATGTATGCAAGCCATGAGGATATCGGGTATGACCTGGAAGATGACCCCAAGGCTAAGAAGACCCTGAAGCCCCACCCAGACATCGACGGCGGGTGGGCCTGGATGATGGTCCTTTCTTCCTTCTTTGTGCACATCCTCATCATGGGCTCCCAGATGGCCTTGGGAGTCCTCAACGTGGAGTGGCTTGAGGAATTTCACCAGAGCCGGGGCCTGACCGCCTGGGTCAGCTCCCTGAGCATGGGCATCACCTTGATCGTGGGTACGTTTGCTGCCGCCTGTTGAAGGGGGCTATGAAATGAGAAGTCCCTGTTGAGAGTCATTCATCACATTCCTGAAACAGTGGGGGAGGTCAGATTATCATCACCACCCACTTTTAAAATCGAAGTGAAATATTCGGAATACAAAATTGACCATTTAGCTCTGTGTGTGTGTGTGTGTGTGTGTGTGTGTGTGTGTGTGTGTGTGTAGATCAGGGGATCACTTGAAGAAGTTGATTCTTTCCTTCCACCGTCTCAGTCCTGGGGGTGAAACTCAGGTTGCCAGACTGGTCAGCCAGTACCGCCACCTGCGGAGCCCTCTCGCTGGCCTCAGCACCGATTCTGTGGCTGATGATTCATCTCCGTCATTTCTGCTTGGCTAACACTTTCGCTAGAACTGACCTTAGCTCAGTGGTTCCTTAGTGTGCAACATTTCTGTTGTTTTGAGGCAGGGTTTTACGTAGCCCAGTCCTAAATTACCTTAAGTTCAGTACCTAGCCAAGGATGACCTGAACTTTGGATTCCCTTGTTCACTTTCCAGATGCTGGGATTACAGACAGGCGCGAGCCGCCTCACCCAGTTTAGTTAACATCTGTGAATGCCCTGGGGACACTTGGGGGCATCAGGTCTGGGGCCTCACACACGCTAAACAAGCAGTCTTCTGCCACTGCACTGCATCTGCTACCCAGTGATGATGAATAAGTTTTAAAAGACAGAAGATTAACCAGACCTGGCCACTTTTCTGTTATTGTAATGAAACTCATGGAAGAACGTGTTCATTTTGGCTGACCATTCCAGAAGGATAAGAGTCCATCATGGGGGGAAGGGGTGGCAGGACACAGTGGGTTATGAGGGCAGGGAACAGGAAGCTGAGATCATGTCTCTGCGCCTGCCCAGAACTGGGGAAGCAAACTGGACGTGGGACGAGGCTATAGACCCTCAAAGGCCACCCCCAGTGACATACATCTTCCGTCAAGGTTCCACCTCCTAAAGGTTCCATAACCTCCCAAGAAGCACCACCAACCAGGGGTGAAGCGCCTAAGGGAGAGATGTCCCGTTCAGACCACCACAGAGGAGGATTAGGAATTCAAACCCAGCCTCAGATGCATAGCGAGTTCCAGAATGGCCTGCCCTGCATTTAGGAGACCCAGGGGTACACATATGCGTGTACAAAGATTGTTGGTAGCCAAGCGGTGGTGGAGCTTGCTTTTGATCCTAGCACCAGGGAGGCAGAGGCAAGCAGATGTTCAAGGCCAGCCTGGTCTGCAAAGCAAGTTCCAGGATAGGCAGGACTGTTACACAGAGAAACCCTGTCTCGAAAAACAAAAACAAACAAACAAAAAATTGACAAATATCTATGACATTGTTGTCTTCTTCAGTTCGTCATTGATCTTACAACTAGGACAGGGCTGAGAGATGGCTCAGTGGTTAAGAACACTGGCTCTTCCAGAGGACCAAGGTTCAGCTCCCAGCACCTGTGTGTGGTGGCTCACAACCATCTGCTCCCAAGTCCAGTAATAATGAAATCACTGGATCTGGGTTTTATTGTTCCTTTTGTCCCAAGAGTGTGGAGCAAGTGTTCTTTACTAGTGTGTGTGTGTGTGTGTGTGTGTACGAGAGAGAGAGAGAGAGAGAGAGAGAGAGAGAGAGAGAGAGAGAGAGAGAGGCTTGTGGAGTCAGTTCTTTTCATTTCGCTGGAATGGTAGTTAGCTCTTGGTAACGCCTACCTACCGGCCATTCACAAAGCTTAAGAAACAAAACTAAGCCAGAAAGTTTAGAGTGGAGCTCCCGCCCCAGACCTTCAGTGTTTGTATTACCTAACTGCAGGGGGTTTACAGCACCTCCCATCTGACTTTGCACATTTACAAACCATAAATGACTGAGGGAATCCTCTGCCCTCTGCGAGCAGCCGTCACTTAACTAGGAAGCCAGACAGTTAGCCCCTTAAGTTGTTCACTTAGTGCTCTTGTCAGGACAGCAGCTAATGCCATCTATCTGGCTTATAAAATCCTTCAGCTAGTAATAGTCACACTGACTTGTGGCACGAATAATAAAAACCCAGAGTCAGAAATTGGGTTCAACGCAAAAACCAGAAAAGCAAGGCAGCCAAGCCAGTAGAGAAGTCTTACCTCTACCAAGATTGGAGGGCCGTAAACTAAGCCAACTAAGTAAACTAAGCCTCTCTCTCCACCCATTTTATATTCCCTCTAGTGCTGGGATTAAAAGCATATGACTCCCTAGTACTGGGATTAAAGGTGAGGCACAACCACATGGATTTGTTTCTGCATTGATCTTGTGTAGCCTAGAGGGGCCTTGATCTCACAGAGACCCATCTGATTCTGTCTCCAGAATCCTGGGATTAAAAGTGTGTGTCATCGTTGCCTGACCTCTAGTGACTTTATCTTAGTCTCTGGTCCTCAAGCAATATTTATTTATCAACATACAAATAATATACATGGCTTTCCTTTCTTTTTATTTTTCTCAAATGTCTTAGGATATTTCATAAGCAAACATATCAGAAAAGCTTGCCTCTGAATCCTTTTTGTTATGTGGGAAATAAACAGTGCTGTGGCCTTCCGATCTTTCATGTATTAAAGGGCTGTCAGCAGCAAAACTAGGAGTCACACGTGTTCCATTTGGGGTCGCTTGGTCATCCAACTATGGCATGGCCGAGTGAGTGTGAATGTATAACAATTAAAATGTAGGGTTGGCGAGGTGGCTCAGTGGTTAAGAGCACTGGCTCCTCTTCCATAGGACCTGTAATTTAATTTGGTTTTCAGTGTATATAAAGAAATATCTTCAGAGTTACGGTATCCCAATTTCAGTTAATTTTAGTTACAAGAATTCATCCAGATGCTCATAACAATGGGCTGATTTTATGTTATTTATATAATATACATATTCAATATATCATTGCTATACATTTATATATGTATAATAGATAAAATATATAAATATATTTAGTATGTAATAAGTCTATTATAATGAGTTAATTGTTGCCTTTCATGTCAGAATTTATTAAATAAGTCTTTACATTTATGTCAAGTTATGCACATTTCAAAGACACCAGACAAGGAGCTGAAGAGATGGCTGATGGTTTAGCACATTTGCTGGGTTCAGTCCCCAGGACCCATCTAAGGTGGCTCACAACTGTCGGCAGCTCTAGCTCCAGGAATAGCTGACATCTCTGGCCTGCAAGGCACTGCACTCATGTGCACATACCCATAATGCACAGACATACACATACTAAAAAACAAAACAATGAAGCTGCAGTGATGTCAGTGGTTAAGTGATGTCTAGCTGCTCTTGCAGAGGACCTGCACCCACGAGTACCTCATAATCTAAAGCTCCAGTTCCAGGGGATATGACACCATCTGCCGGACTCTGAAGGCAACAGGCATGCCCACAGTGTACATACAAACATGCAAGCAAAACACACATACACATAAAGTAAATAAATACGTTTTTAAAATAAATCTTGCTAAGTGTCGTAGTGCACACCTTTAAGCCTAGCACTTGAGAGGCAGAGGCAGGTAGATCTCTGTGACTTTCAGGCCAACCTGGTCTACATAGCAAACTCTAGGCCAGCTGGGACTACATACTGAATGAATAAATAAATACACAAAAATTTTAAAAAAAAAAAAAAACCTTTGAACACATACACACACGGCAGACAAGGCTGGGTTGTAGCTGAATGGTAGGACACTTTCCCAGTATAATGCTCTCTTCATTAGCAACTTGGCAGAATTGGAGTCCCAGGAGAGAAACCTCTGTAGAGTTTCTGAGTTGATTTGACTGGAAAGGTAAGACCCACCCTAAATGTGAGTCTGGAGGAAGCTGACCGAGGGCCAGCTTCAGTCTTCCTCTGCTTCCTGATGACAGACACAATGTGGCCAGGCTCTGTGGCGTCCTTGATAAAGGAACCCCTTTAACCCCTGCCCAAACAAACCTTCCCTTAAGTTGTTTTTATCAGGACTGGTCTGGCGAAAGTAGCAAATGCACCCCTGCCCGTGGGAGGCACCAGTTCCTTCTCACACACAGAAGAGACCTCACAGGGAAATCTTGTTTTAGTTTGGGCTAAGCAGGGAAACTCTTGAGAGCTCGATTGTTTTATTTATCACTGTATGAGTGTGGGCACAAGTGTGCCCCAGTCTATGGGTAAGGGTCAGAGGGAAACTTCCGAAAACCCGCCCTCTCCCTTCCACTATAAGTTCTAGAAACTGAACTCAGGTCATAAACAAAGTGTCAAAAATGCACATCCTGGGGTCTGGGGGTGCAGTTCAGCAGTAGTGCACCTACCTAGCTTGCATGGAGAGCCCTGGGGTCCATCCCCAGCACCTAATAAACGAAGCATGGTGACAGATGTCTGTTGTCCTAGCATTTGGGAGGTGGAGGTAGGAGGATCAGAAGTTCAAGGTTATCCTTGGTTATGTAGGCAATTCGAGGTAGTCTGGGCTGCATGAAACCAAAACATTGCAGCCCCGTGGTCTCAAAGAACTGGAAGAGAAAGCAGGGCCTATGTGAGTTGAAGACGGCAAATCCTTATAAAGTCTGTTTTTGTTGGGTGCTCTGTGATTGGCTGTAGGTCATCTTCGTGGGAATCCCTTTCTGATGTTTCCTTTAGAACTGAAGTCACGCTGGGCCTTTAATCCCAGCACTTGGGAGGCAGAGACAGGCAGACCTCTGTGAGTTTGAGGCCAGCCTGGTCTACAGAGTGAGTTCCAGGGCAGCCAGGGCTACACAGAAAAACCCCGTCTCAAAAAAACAAAAACAGACTGGAGCAAAGACCTCTGGTGTGGGTCAGTGAGTCAGTTCAGTGGACCCGTGGTACCAAGCCTAACAACCTGAGTTCCATCCCACAAACCCATATGGTAGAAGGAGAGAATCGACTCCCGTAAGTTGTCCTACAACCTCCACTCCAACATCATGGCACATTCACCCACATCGACATGCATAAGCAAATGTCATAGGGGGAATTTAACATCAAGAGGCGAGGGTAGAAACTGCTACTAGCCTGAGAGGGTGTAGCCAAGCCAGAGGGTCAGCTGTCACATGGCCCCTAGTCAGGAGAGGTAGGAAATAGTCAGCATTACTACTGGAGTGTGTGTGTGTGTGTGTGTGTGTGTGTGTGTGTGTGTGTGTGTGTG